GATTAAAGACTTTAGTTTAAATCCACGACTGAAATATGTTTTATAAAATGTATTTTTTTTCTACATTGTTTGTTGTTAAGCACACCTATTTCAATACAATATACATGTAAATTTAAGAATTAACTTGAGGTTTCTCTTGTGAAACCAATTTCTATTATAAATACTTACCACAGTCATTATAATGCATATTCCAACCTTACTTGGCTCTTTACATACGTAAATAAAGAATTTTTCCCCCCATGGGGAACCCCTGGGAAACCCACCAATCAGACGGCAGTATTCACGCACGTGATTTAAGACACGAAGCCATGCTTCCCACTTCATAATTCCAAAGCCCAAAAAAGTGAGAGCCAAGGAGACAAGGGGAGGCTGGGAGGGAACTCACCTAATGACTGTGGTAAGTATTTATAATAGAAATTGGTTTCACAAGAGAAACCTCAATTCTATTTCAAAGTACGTTACCACAGTCATTAAAATGCGAATTCGACTTACCGCAGTGGTGTCTCCGTGGTGCGATGAAGGGTTCCAACAATAGGACCCATACCCCCGGAGGAAAAATTCAAAATACCCTTTCCTTTTGTGACACAAAGCCTGATTACGACCAGCGTTCCGGATCACGCGGAGAAGACATAATGAGGCTTATGCAAAAGAAGAGGGAGGACAGACAACGGACTGGGCAGCCACAAGAGGGCCCAAAGAATACAATCCGTCAGACTGTCCCGACAAAGATCGGAGATAGAACTCCGTAAACGTAGAATGACCCCTCCAAACAGCAGCTGTCATGACCTCAGCGTAAGAAGAACCATTAAATAAGGCCCACGAAGTAGCTAAAGCGCGAACCTCATGAGCCCTAACCCCTGACACCCGCAAGGACTGATCCCCTGCCGACTCATACGCAGCTCGAACAGTCTGAACAATCCAGCGTGAGATGGTCGCTGCAGAGATATCAGAGCGACCGGGCTGGAGAGACTGGAACAGCCGAGACGAGTGTCCCGCCCCCCCCTCTGTTCTGGCCAAGTAGTAACGCAAGGCCCGAACTGGGCAGAGCAGGCGATCAGGACAATCCCCATCCAGAGTTGAAGCCAAAGAAGGGATAACCACAAGCCCTGGGGTGAAACCGGGAACCTGGTTCTTAGCTAAAAAGGAGGGATCAGTGGTCACCGAGACCGAAGAATGGCCAGCCGAAAAACGAAGGCAAGAAGAAGATCTGCTGAAAGCATGAATCTCGCTTCTGCGGCGACCGGAAGCAAAGGCTATCAAGAACACAGTCTTGAAAGTAAGAAACTTCCGATCTGTCGACTGGAGGGGCTCGAATGGCGCCCTTAACAAGGAATCTAGCACAAGTGCTAAATTCCACCTAGGGACCAATTGCCGTGAACGAGGCTTCTCAATGTAGAAGCCCCTAATGAGAGCCNGCCCTTGATTCCTGGTTGAATGTGCATGTTATATTTTGAGACTGATCATAACAACAAAATGGCTAAAGAAAGAACTAAACAGATCTTTCTCATATTGCAATGATCGATTCTATTTCTTTCACATTAAATACTGTGCTAGTAAATATGTGAAATGACAAACTAACTTTGAAGGTTGGCTTTCATACACATCAGTATTAAGTTTAGATCAAAAGTTACTTCAAGGTGCAGTTACTGTTAACATGACTCGATCAAACAAATTAGAGGAAAGAAGAGAAAAGATTGAACTGACAAAGAACTAATGAAGATGGTACAATGGTGGGCGCCAAGGTCCCTCTGGGATCTCTTGTTGTATCATAACTGACAGGGTAGTCTTAAATGCTACTACAATGCCGCAAGACTATCCCCTAAAGGACAATTCAAGTTGGTGGTAATGTCTCCTGAATTTTTAGGTCATGTGACCCATTGTCATTAATCTTTGTTTGTCGCTGTCTATTGACTTTCTGATGTTCATTTAACTTCTCAAAAACTAATTTGTGGTTTTCCAATCAACATAGAAGGGACCATGCATAGGTGGTGAGAAACGCAATTTGTTAAAATCAGGTTCCTGCCCTTCCAAGGGATAATTTGCAAAACTTTTTTATTTTTTTTATTTTTTAAATTTGTAAATGGCACAGCTAAATAGTCTTTGCACGCATATGTATCTAACCAAAAAAGAAAGGAGTACAACCTCTAGGATCCTATAGTTGACCCCAGCAAGGGACTAAAGTTGAACATAGTTATATAGTAAATGAATGTATTTGGCAAACAGAATTGACCTCCCTTGGGCCATAGCTATGGAGTTAAAAAAAAGGGGTAATTAACCAAACTTTCAAAAATGATCTTCTCCAGGGTTCAGAAATGCTGCAGTACTCTCCATTTATGTAAAAAGACCAAAGGATGGTTTTAATGAATTTCATATTTCAAATTTTTGAAGATTTATTCCAATTGTATCTTTATTTATATACAAGGAAGTATCAACTTTAAATTCGGCCTGGCCATGCACTACGTCCCTCAGATGTGAAATGTAAGTAAACTCTCATACTGGAAGGAATGTTCAACAAGCAGGATGACAGAGTGACACAAAGTCATCAACTATCTGTGAAAATCAATTTTACGCTTATTTTCAATCAGGATTTAAAAAAATATCAGATGCAACATCTTTTGTATTTGAGGTAGTATATGGGAACATCAAAATGAATGCATGGCTGCACCATGAGTGTCGTTTTAAAAAGTGATAATGAATTCTATGCTATATACTGTAGTTTTGGAAATCCAATAGAAACATAGTAAGTGTCATCATAGTATCACTGTAGATATATTTGGTTTGGTTTGTGTGGGTACCGGTGTCGTCCTATTAACAGCTTTGGTCATTTAAGGACATGCCAGGTTTTGATGGTGGTCAGGAAAGCCAGATAGCAAATATTCTGTGGAACTTGCCCATTGTTGAAATGACATCACATTTCCAGAAATTAGTGGTCATTGGTTACAGCATGTTTGTGGAATAAAAGATCAACCATACCACTTCTTTGCTCTTTATCTACATAATGCTTTTTTTTGGAGTCATGTATGTTGCAACTGTCAAAATTGTAATGATAAACAATAGTATGATTGGCTGATAACTAGTAATGTTGGTAACCAATCAGATCTATGCTATATAATAGCTATAAATAGAAAAGATCAGTTCCATTGCATATTATGATTATGATCTGCATGAACAAACAACAACAGATATGACACTAATTATGACCGTCTTTCAATAACAGCTTTATTATGTCNAATAGATTGAAATTTTAGGGAAGTGTTCAGATTTCTGGTGCTTTCTCTTAATTGAACAACACATCCTATCTAAACCAAACTTAGACAGATGTTACCCTTATGGACCAGAAATAGCACTTTTGATTTTAGGGTTACTAGGTCAATAATTAAGGTCAAGGCAGCTATAAATAAACTAATTTCTGTAATGTCTCATGCCTTGAAGTCTGAAAGTTCATTTTCCAGTCTTGTTACTGAATGTATGCCCCTAAACCAGGAGCTTATTCCATTTTATACTTCGTTGTTCTTATAAACAATGTACATGTATATCTTCTGAAATTTAATGCATTTGAGGTACTGTGGAATCAGATATTTTGGTGGGTCCCAAATTTTGTGGTTTTCCAAAAAAACACCAATTCTTTGGAACAAGAATTTGTGGATGAAGAAATTATAACCCATTCATATGGAGAATAGCTTTATGCCATACTTTGTGAACCTATGAATTTGTGGATGACAAATACTCATAAAAACTTTAAACCCCACAAAAATGAGTGATTTCACAGCACATGATTTAGAAAGGTTACAAAATTTTATGCATTTTTTGGATGCTTGATGTGAACTCAGATTTATTACTGTACTTTGTTAGGCGTTACAAGTGTTCAAGGGAGTTCAAAGCTGTATCCTATAGAAACTATTATACACTAGATAATCACGCATTAATCAATAAGCAATTTAAAAAATCAATTTGATTACAACTTTGAATCTCCATGCCATACCCAATACAGCTCGTTAACTGTGATGAGTTCTGATTGTATTAAATGCTGCAGTGAATCACTTGCAACTAAGATATTCTGTTACATACAGAAACACATAGAGTATAACTCAAACATAGTGCGTTGTGCGTTGGGTTTATAGATGGTTTATGTTTCTTTGTGTCATTTCTTACCTGTGAAAACCAAAGCCATATATTCAAAATGTCCTTATAAGGTTTGTTTGTGTTTTACGTCCTATTAACATGCAGCTATGGTCATTTAAGGACGTTCCAGGTTTTGGTGGAGTTCCCAGGGGAAAAAACACCGACCAATGGCCAGTACCTATAGTGACTGCCCCTCGTAGACCTCGAACCGGTGACCCAGTGGTTGAGGGCTTAAGTGGTGCCAGAATGACAAGACACCTGAACCACTTAGCCACCGTGGCCCCTTCCTTATAAGGACTTCTATCAGACGATTAACACGGTTTTAATATTTTCATTTGAACACCATAATGCAAGAATGTCTTTACAAAGATCACAATTCTGTAAAGTCTCATTTAAAACTAGGGGTGGGCTTATTTATGGGCATGGGCTTATCACAGATAGCATAACTCATATGCAAAACCACTTGGGACAAAAGATTTACTGTATTAGATATTTTGAAACTCCTTAATTGCTTGAAAATAAAATTTTGTCGTAACATAATTATACAATGTGACTTATAAGAATGGGAAATCAACGATTACATCAGAAATCAGGTAGTCGTTTCCATCAAATTTAATTGACTTTTCTTGATTAATTGTACATGGTAATTGAAAGTTGTCTCAGCGCTAATTGTCACACAAATCAGGACAATCTCCCAGCTTTATCGGAGTGTATGTACAGGGCCTGGCACACGGAGGTAATGCATTTGGAGACTGGCTGCTATATACGTTTAACCATACCTATATTACTAAGTGGAGATATCACACAGGCAACAAAATATAGTAGAACTCCATCAAGCGAGCAGTCGCGAGGCTTCATTAGCCTATAAGGTTGTGTCACAGTGTTTATCCAAGTCAACAGATTGTAGTAGATTGTCCTTGTGCCATTGAATCACTGCAGGGTATATGGCATACTGGCTCTCCCATAGGAACAAGGCCAACCGTACGCAGTCAGGGGATGTCCTCCAACCACAGTATTGGAAAGCCTGACTCAGGTGGCTCGTCACTGAGAAAGGTGTCCTAGAGGTTTCACTGGTATTTCTCTCCCGGTTCCTTCACAGAGTCCGCATATCAGGTTTCCTGAAATACTTGTATCTATATGAGGAAATACAGTATTGCAATACACTACATATTAAGTGAACTAATTGCTTGGGGAAGAATTTAGGGAGCAGTCACATATATATTGGCTTTCCATTGATAAAATTCTATAGCTCACATCTGTGTGTGATTGAATTTGATGTGGAAGGTTTTGTACGGTGAAATTTACTGGATTTTGATTTCATTGGAAATTAATGTGGAAAATTTGTAGAAATCTTAAGGTCCATCTCCTGGAGTTAAGTGTGAAAAAAACCGGTTGTTTTAGGATCTCGGATTAAAGTATAAACAACAATTGATTTCTAGATCTTCGGAGTTATAACTGTGAAAAAGAAGTGTTTTTGGAACTGTGACTAACAAAGTTTTTGCAGTTTAACTGAACAAAATTGAATCGGTAATATTTCAAGAAAGTTTTCACTTGGATAATACATTCATATTGTTTAGTGCTCGGGAGTCTTAATTTCATTGAAGTGTACAACCACAATTTAATATGGAGAACAACAAGATAAATGAATCAAAAGCTGAAAAGATCTTAGGGAAGGTTACCATGGATACCAGTAAGCCTTCCATCATTGGTGGGAATGGAAATGGTAGCTCATCCCCTACAGTTTCTCAGCCCCATGTGGCCAAGTTAAAATGCCTGGGGGAGGAGCCCTCAGGGGCAGGGGGTAGCATCACACTGCCACCACCCACTCGTAGGATGCCGCATCTGCACAAATTAGAAAAGTAAGTAAAATTTTTGTAATCATAACATTTTTTATTGTGAGTTAATTACTACTTTATAATGGGACTTTTTTTCCCAGGTAAAATATTAACCCTTTTCACAGGTCATTTGCCCAGTGTAAATGTCTTCCTTCACATATAATTACTGTATTACTATACTGTATATGGTGTGTTGTGTACTAAGGGTCAGTGTCATGATAATTTGAGTTCATTACAGAAACTGGAGCAAAAAAAAATCATATACTGTGAATGAGATATTTTGGTGGGCCCCACATTTGGTGGTTTCCCGACGAAACACCATTTTGTGGTTACATGAATTCGTGAATTACTAGTACCCATTCAAAAGTCTTTATATCAAACATGTATTACTTCGTTGACCTTTGAATTCATGGATGACGTTTACCCATGAAATCAGTGAAAATAAAATAAAAACACAAAAATTAGACGTTTTGACAGTATATTAACAAAAGCTGATAAATTGCAATTTAGCCACTGCATAATTGACACTTTTGATTTAAAGAGCAATGATGACTATATTTTTCCATTGCTCTATATATCAGTTTGATGTAATTCAGATATATGTTTTATGGGATAATTTACTAGACTAGGTAGTGATATGGAATTCATGTGTTAAGTTCAAACATCATGAGCACTGTCTAGGGCAGCCGCAGTTGGTAGTCACTGGTTTGTTTTCATCAGGAGTGTGTGGAAAGGGGGAAAACTACCAATTTCTTACCCCTTTTTTTTTTTTAAACTGTGGTACAATTCTGTTGTTTACTGTCATTCATAAGTTAATTAAAAGTATTCCAGACTTCATTATGCTCATGAAATGGTCTTTAGTTTTGACTTGTCGTGAAGTAATGATACCTGTCTCCTCTGAGGGCAGCCATGGCTGGGCTTCTGGTTAACTTGATTATAGTTTAATATGGTTTAATGATGTTATAAATAAGGGTATACTTATATGAAATCATTTCTGCTAATTTACAGAAATTAGCTAACAGAAAGGATTTCAAAGAGAATTTTTAAGAAGCTGTATGCAGTGATGACAAAATTCTACATGTTTCTTGACTGTGTATCAGTAATTTTATATCGGCATTGATTTTTGTCCTGATCACATCTCTACAGTAACTGTTTTACTTCACGCCAATATTGTAGAATAACACAGTTACGATAGACTACGCAGCATCGGGACCAACACCCTGAATGTTGTTTAGCTCTGCTGACTGATTGAACATCCTTACAATGTTTTTTGTATCATTGAAAATAAAGTTCTTTAACATTTCATTCAATGTCTAACCATTTGTACAAATTGGTATTTTTAATAAAAACTGATATCCTTCCTAATCTTGATGGGACTTTACTTTGATTGTTCGTGTCTACCTAGCTGCACAAACGAGTACCATCAAATGCGAGGAAATAATCTTATGAAAGAATGAATTCCTGCCTAATCTATAGGAATTATATAAATTTAACTATTGAGCTGCATTCTGTTCAGAATTTTAAGTTATATACGTGTGAAAAAGTTTGCAAATAGATAAATTAATTATGTGCTACCACATGCGATTCAATAAGTCTGCAATCCTGTTTAATCATTATCATATATAGGAACATATTTGTTACGGGTATATCCCCATGAAAGTTTTTTTTATCAGAATGTTTTTAAAAAAGTGCTATCAGTTGATATTTTACTTAACCTCGTATACATATCTTTAGACTTGAAATTAAGTGACGCAGGTAATGTTCCATACAATCATGGCGACCGGTTGTTTTGGAGTTGTGCTGCTGGCTTTAAATATTGCGACTGAGTTACGAAGGTCATTCCTGGTTCATCTTGGTGTTTGAAGGTTATTTAAGGTCAGTGGTCAAGTCTTAGTATTGTTGTAACAAATGAAGCATAACGATGTTCATTCACCCTTTATACTGGGTTCAGTTGACCATTGAAAATTTAATATAAAAATAGTTTTGTTTTCATTTGAAATTAAACATGCTGTATGAAACCATAGATCAATACGCTTTTATAATGAATGTCTATGAGGAAGATGGGTCCTAGATATATATATAAAGTAGATAATGATGGTTATTCCTATGTATTACCTGTATTACAGAACCCCTGCGTGACATGTATAAGCACAATTGTGTATAGGTGAAAGGTGTTTTGTTACCTGGTCAATTGCTGCCTGGGAAAGACAGCTTGATAGTTGAATAAATGACAAAACATTAAAAACAAAATTGGGGATCTTGAGGAAAGGGAAGACAAAAAGAAATCTTTTTTAATAATGTTTGCAAAATTAAGAAAGAAGAAATAATTTTGGACCTATACAACTGACTTTAAACAACAAATAAATTAGCAGGAACAAAAAATGTCTTGACTTCAAACTCAATATGGCAGCATAGCACAGCTGTGCAGTTATTACCATGCTGGGAATTAATCTGTGAAAGACAATTGCGTCTTAACCAGGAGATGTGGACTGTTAGTTGATAAAGTATCTATTTAGAAAATAAAACTCCATTTTTTCCCCTGTTTAATTGCAAACCTGTGTCTGTGAGACCAACCATTGTTACAATTTTAAGTGTTGTGAGTGCTTGGCATTAAGAGATATCTAAATCTAGGTTCTAAATGCAGTTGTTTCTTTTTGGGTCAAGTCTTGATTTGAAACAGTAGGCAGTAGTGTAGCGGATGTGGACTGGGCAAATCACCGTAATACCAGGGCCTGTATTCATGAAATCATTCTCGTGCTCAAGCATGATTAGCTGTGCTCAAGCCAACTTTCATATAACTTCCTTAAATTAGATGTCACCATCAAAAAACTGAAGATTTAACATTAAAAAACCAGCGTTTGGCTTTAAATTTCTCCAGATGTATTCCATATCATTGACAAAATGTGGTTTTCTTAATTAATGTATCGTAGGAATGCAGAAGTGGGATTGAGCACAGAACCTGAGTTTGAGCATGATCGTGCATGGTTTCATGAATTTGAACCGTGATATGGTTCAGTTGATAAATATTCCTCGAGAAAATTTTTGAGGGTCTAAAATATTGCCAGTTTCATTTTCACCGTAATGTCACAGTTGTATTTCTGTTTATATTCACAACAGTATGCAACATTTGTAGAGCATACACTGTACAATAGTGAAAGTGATCCAGAGTTTGGAGGCCCTAGCTGGAATGGATTTGATAGAAATTAAATCTTTCAGAGGCCTGAGCGTTTGAACAAAGTTGGTAGGACCTTCGTGTGGAATTCAAAAGATTCTGTGTCTGCCTCTCTATCTGACGTATTGCATTGTTCTGTCACAACACAAATTGTGTTTATGTGTGTTAACGGCTCACTGCCCGGATCAAAGTCTAAAACCAGTACAGTTTGGCCTGCTATGATTTGTTATACAAGTCATGCCTGTTATGATTTGCTAGGGTTGTCAAGTACCAGTTCTGAAATCAATACGGACATTGTTGAGTAGCGAACATGACGATCTCTCATGCATTGCCTATCGTAAAACACATTTTGCAAAAAACAAGTATTAAAATCGATTTTTCAAATATAAAAAAAGTCCATCAAATGGAAATAAAAATATGAAAAATCATCGGATTAATCATTAACATGGCACTGCACTTGCTAGTTGCTTTTGGCTTGTGATCGTGTCGTGAGAGGAGTTGATTCATGGATGAAAACACAAAACATACTGTATGATTCCATACACAATACTCTCTCAGAATTGTCATAATTATTAGAAATCCTGGAATTCGTAAAACATTCTGATTACAATATGCTTCAGAACTATTAATCAATTTGTGCATTGCCATCTAATTTACAATTTGACATGTATCATCTGTGCCATCAACTTTGTTAAGAATAGCTAGCTAATGAGCCAGTCAGCTATATCGAGCGGAGAATTGACAAGATCAATTGTTATAGTGGAAAGGCCAACAATTTATGGCAAGATGATGCTATTACAATATACATGTATACACCATAATAGGAATTGAAAATGTATTTATCAGAGCAATTTTTTTTATTTTTTTTATTTGGAAAATGAATTTATGAACAGTTTAACCTTTGGAGGGGAGTCAGTTTCAAGGTTGTGTTTATTTATAGGCTTAAATTGAAAGGAAATGTAAATTTTGGAATAAGGTAGCCTAAGGTTAAACTTTGGTGAATATATTTGGTTTCAAAGGGGCAGAAATACATTTTTAGCCCACCATCATCTGATGGTGGGCTATTCAAATCCCCATGCGTCCGTGGTCCATAGTTCGTCCTTAAACAATTCTAGTTATCGGTATTTCTCAAGAAGTGCCAAAGGGGTCTTTCTCAAATTTTATATGTAGGTTCCCCATGGTCCTGATCTGTGCAGGGCAACTATTGAGACTGATCGGATAAACAACATGGCCGACAGGCAGCCATCTTTGATTTTGATAGTGAAAGTTTGTTATCAGTATTTCTCAAGAAGGACAAGAGAAATCTTTCTCAAATTTTATATGTAGGTTTCCCTTGGTCCTTAGCTGTGCAGGGCAGCTATTGAGACTGATCGAATAAACAACATGGCCGACAGGCAGCCATCTTTGATTTTGTTAGTTAAAGTTTGTTATCGCTATTTCTCAAGAAGAAAGGGAGGGATCTTTCTTAAATTTTATATGTAGGTTCCCCTTGGTCCTAAGCTGTGTAGGGCAACTTTTGAGACTGATTGGATAAACAACATGGCCGACAGGCAGCCATCTTGGATTTTGATAGTGAAAATTTGTTATCGCTATTTCTCGGGAAGTATGGGAGGGATCTTTCTCAAAGTTGAAATGTAGGTTCCCCTCGATCCTGCGTTGTGCATGTTATAATTTGAGACTGATCATAACAACAAAATGGATTAAAAGAAGAACTAAACAGATCTTTCTCATATTGCAATGATCGATTCTATTTCTTTCACATTAAGTACTGTACTAGTTAATATGTGAAATGACAAACTCACTTTGAAGGTTGACTTTCATACACATCAGTATTAAGTTCAGATCAAAAGTT